ATTTAACATTAATAGAAATATCATGAGTGTAACATCTGTCCAGAGACTTTAGATCAAATTCTATCCTTTTGTTTATATTTGAATGTAATAAAATATAGACTCTGGGTTTATTTTATAAATGAACTGTTCGGTATCATGTCGAACAAATTACAGATTTCAAATGATGACCTTATTCTGGATAATGTTTTATTTACACCACGTTGTTTACCTGAGTTATCAGTAAGTTTACACGTCACAGAGCGAAGGTGGATTTTACATTTGTAATTTATAATAAATAAGAAATGTAAGAAATGAGAAAACAGCCTCTGACAACATTTGTATCTGAAGCAGGTGGAGACTCATGAAACTCACCTGGTTGGCAAAGAGCAGGTGACACACCGTCTGGTCCTCGGGATCCTTCATCACTGCTGTGATGAGCTGCAGCATCGGAGTGATCCCTGGAAAAATCAAATAAAGTTCTTTAATGATCACTTAAAGAATAAAATAATGAAAACCATCATTAGTTGCAGATCTAAAAATAAAAGAGAAAAACTGCCTGTTACTGCTTCTTCTTTTTTACTAAAGTTTCTCTGCAGACATTTTTCAAACTGACAAATTAAAAGTTGAATCTTGACGAGTGCTGCTGTTGTTTGGACTCTTGTATAATAAATGATCGTGAGACGTGACGAGTGTTGATGTTGATGATTCAGAACATCAGCTCAACTTCTCCTGGGAGGAGAAACTCTGAAGAGCTCAGACCTCCGACAGTTCCCTTAAATTCAATCAAGCTGCTCCAGTTTACATAAACCCATAGATATCAGTTCCCCAACTGTGTCTGATTGTTTTCATCAAGATCAATTCATCCATTCACTCATTATTCCCTGGGAAATTTATAAAAATGTCAAAAAACTATTTAATGTTTAAAAAAGTGATAAAAACTTAATTGCACCTGCACAATCAAACAAACAACGAGACAGAGTGAAGACGTCTTGTCGGAGCCGGTCAAACTCACCTGTCCCTCCAGCGATCATCCCCACGTGTTTTGCCGTCTTGGTCGCAGCTGGAGACTTTTTATCTGGTTGAATGGCAAAAACTCCTGTAGAGAGAAAAATAAATAAATCACAGCGTCAAAGATTCAAAGTTCAACTTGTATAAAAACTTTTTAAAACTGGCCGCTCATGATTGATTGATTGATTGATTTGGGCTTCGTGTCGTCACGCTCACCTTTGCCCTTGTAAACAAGCAGCCCGCTCGGTCCCCTGAAGTCGATGGTGTCATTGATCCTGAGGCTCTCCATGTACTGACTCATCTTCCCCCCCTCTGGGAATTTAGGGTGAACATCTTTGAAGTAAATCTGTCGCCGATCAGAGACGAATGTTAAGAAGAGTCAAAGAGCAGCTTTAACTCTAAAGAGAAACAACTCTGATTGAAGATTTACCTTCACCACCAGGTCCACGAAACCTTTGTCGTCATCACTGGACACTGGCGTGTACGGACGGACGACCAGTTTACCGTCAATTTTTGCTGACAGATAAATGTGCTGACCTGGAAAAGATCCCGTCAGAGACTTAATAAAACACAATGACCACGTACATGTTTACATCTAATAAATGACGTGTTTGAATATTTTAAAACTGACAATCGATAAATCATCTAGTCTTTGGTTCCATCTCGAATGTGATGACGAGAATATAAATGATAATACGTTCAGATTGATGCTCAGTTACAAACATCACCAGCAACGGCTCTGACGAATTGTGATGTGAATAAAAGATGCTTCTAATTTTTTATTTTTTTTTTTACTTT